GCTGAGCTGGCGACGAGCACCGTGGATTTAGTCGATCAACACCTCAGGGACCTCACTCTTGCTGCGCAAGGGGAAGACAGTGGTGTAACACGAGTAGTCGTCAACGACCAGCAGGAAGTAACGCTCGTGACCCTGTCCACGGACGCGGGCTGGGCCCCACATGTCCATGTGAAGAGTCTGCAGAGGAGCCTCTGTCGGAGGGAACGTGGAGGAGTGAGGAGCGGCGCGCTGCCGGCCCTCGACACAAGGAACACAGGTAGGGGCAGGCCCCAGAGGAAGGGGAGGGAGGGACCGGGGTAGATCCGAGACAAGGGTACGGGAGGCCATACCTCGAAGACGAGGCAGGGAGGGGTGACCAAGGCGGTGGTGCAAAAGGAGAGTCTCGTGCGACAGAGGACGACACGAGCAGGGGGCAGACGCAGGACTAGACCTGGACGCGGCAACAAACACCTGACTAGACGCGGCTACCTCACCAGACGCAGAGACCGGAGGAGACGCAGTAGTCAGTGTGTACAGACTCGACCCAGGCCGACGGGTGAATGTGGCCAGGTGGCGGCCCGTCCGAGAGCAAGTGCAGTGGGTCACACGCTGACCTCCAGGGGCGAACTGGTCAACCCACGCGTCCTGGAGGTCAGCTCTACTCACCAGGTTCGTAGAGAACGAGGGGAGGTGGAGTCCTGACAGCAAGCCCGACGGGGCCGCAGGACACGGTAGAACCGTGGAAGAGTGCGCAAGGACTGGGCCCCCAGAGGGGTCAGCCAGGGAGACTGCGACAGGCCGACTCAGCGGCGTGAGTGTGGTGCTGTCTCGAAAGAAAGAGCGCGAGGCACCAGAGTCAAGTGTGAAAGTGTGCAAGGCCTCAGTAGGTGCAGTACCAGAGAGAGCAGACTCACCAGCACCTGGAGCAGCAGACTCACCAGTACCTGGAGCAGCAGACGCACTAGCACCTAGAGCAGCAGCCTCAATGCCCGGGTCGGGCGGGACACTCAGGTAACAGTCACCCTCAGCACTATCAGTCAAAGCATACATGGCAGCAAGGATAGCATCGAAATCAAGATCAAACATAGCCACATTCTGCCTAAGCAGATCACCCGAGCGAGGGAGCTCAATAGCGTCAGGAAACTGGGCGCGCCAGGCGACAGTCAGGCGACCAAGGCAGCACTGCGCAGTGTGTGGCAGCCCGCACGTCTCCCCACGACGACTGCCGGTGCGAAGAACGTAAGTGCAGGGACCAGCACCCCCAGACCTCCCACGCCCAGCGTACCACTCACGAAGCTGCTGGGCCGACAGGGTCTCACGGGAACGCGGCTGCTGGTGGCGCTGGCTACCACCAAAGCCTCCACGCTGCGCAGCTGCACCTCGACCAGCACCACCGCCACCGCCACCTCCGCCACCGCTGCCGCTGCCTCCACCACCGCTGCCGCTGCCTCCACCACCTCCGCCGCTGCCTCCACCACCTCCACCGCCGCCACTGAAGCCCCCACTCCCGGCACCACCCCCACCTCCACCGCCACCCCCTCTGCCTCCTCCACCGCCTCCGCCGCTGCCCCCACCATCCCCTCCACCACCCTTGCTCCCCTTGCCCTTGCTGTTGCGGCGCCTCCCACTAGGAGCAGACGCAGCTCCGACCTCCTCAGTGCCAACGAGGTCGACAGCAGCAGCAAAAGCAACAGAGGGGAGAAGGGGGATAGGGGAACACCCCTCAAAGAAAGGGGTGCGACGGTCACCGCGAGAAGCACCTACAGCTAAGATACTCTTCTCAGCTGCAGCGAGGCGCTCCTCTAGCAGGTCAACAGTGAGCTCGGTGGGGCAAATGGAGAGAAAGTGGTCCCTGACCGAAGCAAGGGAGTCAGGGAGGCGGGTGACTAGGTAGTAAAGGGTGATGTACATGGGGGGGGGGGGGTTCTTGGCACAGAACTCAGTGGGAAGGGCAGCGCGGTAGCGGGCGTCACTAGTGCGGAGGTGAGTAATGAGGTCAGCGACTGTGGCAAAGGCAGCAAGGTCAGGGAAAAGGTACGGCAGCATGAGGCGGCTGAGGGCAGCAGTGGCAGGGGAGGAGTAGCGTGCAACTACAACGTCGTACAAAGACTTAGCAGTCTTGTACTGGCCAAAATGCGCGCGCTCAGCAGGCGGCAGGTGACTACGAACAGCAAGGCGAGCAACAGCGTCACGAGTGGTCCACTACGAGCGAACCGTACTGTCAGCACTGGCAGTAGGTGCAGTAGAGACACCGGACGTGTGATCGAAAAGGGATACCCCATCCCTAGAGTCACACTGAAGAAAGAGCTGCAGGTCGTCAACCCACACGTCAAAGTCAACTGCACATCCCTCAGCATCAAAGGTGAGAACACTAGGGCTAGCCATAGCAGCAGTAGCAGCAGTAGCAGCAGAGGCAGCAGTAGCAGCAAGAGCAGTGCAGGCAGGGCAGTGCGGCTCAGTAGGGCGGTGCGGCTCGGTAAGGCGGCACGGCTCGGTAGGGCGGCGCAGCTCGGCAGAGCGGCGTGGCTCGGTGGGCGGCGCGGCTCGGCTGGGCGGCGCGGCTCGGCTGGGCGGCGCGGCTCGGCTTGGCGGCGTGGCTCAGCTCCTGGCGGCGCGGCGCAGCAGGGCGGCGCGGGTGCTTACCAGGGGCGGGTGCAGGGCAGGGCAGCGACAGCAGGGGCCGTGACTGCAGGGGCCGCGACAGCAAAGGGGCCGCAACGGCAGGGGCTGCGATAGCAGGGGCTGCGACGGCAGGGGCCGCGACAGCAAGGGCCGCGACAGCAGCAGGGGCCGCGACGGCAGCAGGGGCCGCGACGGCAGCAGGGGCCGCGATGACAGCAGGGGCCGCGACAGCAGCAGGGGCCGCGACGGGAGTAGGGGCCGCGAAAGCAGAAGGGGCCGCGACGGCAGCAGGGGCTGCGACGGCAGCAGGGGCCGCGTCGGTAGCAGGGGCCGCGACGGCTGTAGGGGCCACGACAGCAGCAGAGGCCGCGTCGGCAGCAGGGGCCGCGACGGCAGCAGGGGCCGCGACGGCAGGAGGGGCCGCGACGGCAGCAGAGGCCGCGTCGGCAGCAGGGGCCGCGATGGCAGTAGGGGCCACGACGGTAGGGTGAGGCAGGCGCAAAGCGCGCTTCGGGCAGGGCAGAAAAAAAGAAAATGATCATGGTGGGCCCTAAAAAAAAAAACGTTCCCACAAGGGAACCTGCTCAGAATACCATGTCAAAATCTAAAGGAAGGAATGAATGAACTAGGAAGCAGGTGGGTACAAGTAGGAAACCTAAAAGTGTTGTACCCTATATGAACTACCCCACTACAGCCTAGATAGACTATAGCATATAAGTTTGACAGTTTAGGGTTGATACCATCCTATAGGGGTTTTTTTTTTTTTTTTTCAGTCTCCAAAATGCTAGGCTAGAATCATGCGCGGGGTAACAAGCATTCAATTTTGGATTCCCCAAAATCTCTACAGTTTCTTTTGTGGTTTCAAATTAATTATGATCGTTTCATCGAATGACCAAGCGTAATAGCTTTTCGGGGCGAGGTGTCACCATCCGTGATAGCACTGTGATCACCCGCGATAGAAATCTACTGTACTGTGACTGTTGGTGATACCCCAGTGGCCAAACGTGATAAAACGGGCAAAATTGTGACTGCCCGTATAATTTCCCGCAGATAATCGCCGGCGACAGATACAACCAATTACTGCCGCTCACATCACGTTTCATCCCAATTGGTCAAATCCCCTGATCGACTTCCTCTGAGCGTGAGTGATTCCCAAGTACACCTAACCACTGCTAATTCCACGTTGCTGGATTTGTCGAATCGCGACTTTGTCGTTTTTCCCATGAGGTGAAATTCGGTGAAGAAAAAAAAATCCCTCTAATTCCTCCATAGGTGCTCGGTAAGGTTGGGTGCTCCTCAGTGCGGTCTCACTATGTTTTACAGAGGTAGAGATAGGTTCACCAGCAGTCAACGCAAACAATACACGCGCCGCCCTTTCGTCAAGGCCACCAGGTGACGAAAAATCTTGAGAAAATAAGGGGAGAGAATTTAGCGATGGTTGGGTGTAACAAGAATCGCGTTATGCTATTAGGACGTGGTGCATATTGGGGTGATTTAAGGCTGATTGCCTCGATTAGAAGCAATCCACAAATTCTGAGAAGCACGTGGGGCTTTTTGGGCCGATCGAGGACATTTTCTCGATCGCGATCGATGTTCCGATCACTTGCGATCGATTGTCCGAATCTAACGCAATCGATTGCGATCGATTGCGATCGCAAGATTGGGTTTGCTCTCGACATGCGCGATCAATAACTAGCCCTACAAAAAATCGTTTATGCTCGCTGCAACAATGTATCTCGCCACATCATATCTATCTAGACCCATTTGGCGACAGAAGGGGGCTACGATGTAATTGCGAGACACCGAGATGCGCAGTCTCGCTAACTTTGATGTGGAAGGAACGTGTGACTAGCCTGGACGTCACTGTTGTGGTTCTGATAGTTCTCGACGAAATTGTCTCTCCAGATCGCGCGGCGCGGGCCAGATGGCAGATTGCGTCGGCTCAAGGCGATCCGATCCGATCAATCGCTGATCGCCTCAGATTGATCAGCACCACGTCCTTAGCAGAGCTGAATATCTTACACTTAGGAAAGTCCAACGCATTTGTATGTGCTTGTAAGGAAACAAATTTTCCTTACTTCGCGTCACTACATATTGCTTATACTAATATTCCCGCCACTGTACACCCAGCAGTAGCCCGTTACCGCATTGCAACTCTCGCCTCTGCACTGTTCCCACCAACACGACCATCGCGCCCAAACCACCCGGCTTGGCTGGTAACCCGCGACCCAGCCCTACGCTTCGACAATTCCCAACCTCGACATCAGGCCCGACAGGACGTCCCTTCGCGAACACATTACCATTGTCGAAGCACTCCGCCTATATACCAATTCGCTCATGCCTTTGCTCATGCCTGTGGACTTCCAGGAAGCCATCTCGGCGTCCATGGCTGCCTGCCACTAAGAGGAGTAGGGACCCTCTATCGCCTCTGCGTAAGAGCGCGGGGTCGGGATGTCTGGTGCATCCGGGTCTCCCTCAGGGGCAAGCAGCATGGACACGAGATGAGGTACTGTAGCGGCAAAGCACTCAAACTCCTCCTGTCTGTCCTCAAGAACGTCAGTGCCAAGAGCACACTCACCCCCGACGGACGGAGGACAGACAGACGCAGATGCAGACTCAGCAACAAGACTAGTGGCGTAGTCTAGGCGACAGGCTGCAGCAAAGTCAACAAGCTCAGTAACAAGAGCAGACGCAGCAGTGGACTCAAACAAAGGGTCAGTGACAGCAGTGGCTAGAAAGCGCGTGACTGCTGGACTAGCAGCACGTAGGGAGTCAGACGCAGGGTCCAGACCAGCAGGAAGAGAGGACGCAGGAGGAGACGGCAGAGGGACACGTTGGGGAGCAGTGGAAGGACGCAGAGTCATAGAGTGAGTGCCAGGGATAGGAGGACGCGAAACACGACCAGCGCGAACAGTACGGACAGGCGACGCAGAACGTGACTCAGGCTCACGACGCTCCGTAAGACCTCTAGTCGGTCCAGAGTAAGGAGAAGGACCAGGCAGTGGAGAGGCCGACTGTAACTGCGACTGGGACTGGACTGGCGGTGGACTCAGGAAAGGAGGAGTAGGACCAGGAGAAGGCGGGGAACCAAGAACCTGGTGAAGGAGTGGAACGTAGTACGGCCGCGGCCACGCAGCGCCTCCAGAAACAGCAGAGACAGAACCGGTACCCTCAGCCCCAGGGTCTCCAGTCCCAGCAGCACCTCCAGTCCCAGCAGCACCTCCAGCAGCTCCAGCAGCTCCAGCACCAGCATCACCTCCAGCAGCTCCAGCAGCTCCAGCACCAGCAGCACCTCCAGCACCAGCAGCACCTCCAGCAGCTCCAGCAGCACCTCCAGCAGCACCAGCACCAGCAGCACCTCCAGCACCAGTAGCACCTCCAGCAGCTCCAGCACCAGCAGCACCTCCAGCAGCTCCAGCAGCACCTCCAGCAGCTCCATCAGCTCCAGCACCAGCAGCACCTCGACATCGCCGAGAGTACCACTCACGAAGCTGCTGTGGAGAGAGGGGATCCCACCGCGACGGGACACCTAGAGCACCTCCAGACTCAGTACGCGCAGGCTCAGCACCTCCAGACGCAGTACCCTCAGGCTCCACACGTGCAGGCTCAGCACCCCCAGGCTCAGCACGCCCAGACTCAGCACCCCCAGACTCAGCACTCCCAGGCTCCACACGCTCAGGCTCAGCACCCTCAGGCCCCGCATCCCCAGTCCCCGCACCCGCAGGCTCAGCAACCCTAGCAACACCTGAGTCGACAGCTACCTTGACCAGCTCGACAGGGTCTACCTGGGACACACCTGAGGGGGCAGGACCCTGTTGGGGGAGGGGGTCTACCGGGGGAGTACCTGGTGCTAGGAAGAGCGGCGGGGGGGGGAGAGAGGCAGTGCGGTAGGGAAAGAGACGGTAGTAAGACACCGACTCATCAAATGTGACGTTCTGAGAGGACAGAACACGACGCGAGGTGGGGTGGTAGAACTGCCACCCGGGTGCGTCAGGAGGGAAGCCAAGGAAGACATAGGGAACGCCACGGGAGGACAGCTTGTCCGCTGAAGTATCGCGGACAAAAGCTCGAGATCCCCAGACACGGAACGCGGACGCATCGCCAACCTTCCCCGTCCACCTCGGAGTAGGTGTGGTCTCCGGCAAGGAGACACGAGGCTGAAGGTTGATCTGATGCGCAGCGTACTGAACCGCGAACGGCCATAGAAAATGGGGAGCAGCCGCATGGATCATGGACGTACGAGCGACGTCCATGACCATGCCAATGCGGCGCTCAGCAATCCCATTTTGCTGTGGAGAGGCCGGAAGCGTGAACGTCTGGTGGATGCCCTCCGCACGACAGAAGGCCCTCAGGAGGTCGGAGGAAAACTCACCACCTCTGTCGGAGTGCAGACGCAGAACAGGAAGGTCCGAGCCAAAACTCTCGCTGAGCTGGCGACGAGCACCGCGGATCCAGTCGATCAACACCTCAGGGACCTCACCCTTGCTGCACAAGGGGAAGACTGTGGTGTAACGCGAGTAGTCGTCAACGACCAGCAGGAAGTAACGCTCGTGACCCTGTCCACAGACGCGGGCTGGGCCCCACACGTCCATGTGAAGAGTCTGCAGAGGAGCCTCAGTCGGAGGGGACGTGGAGGAGTGAGGAGCGGCGCGCTGCCGGCCCTCGACACAAGGAACACAGGTAGGGGCAGGCCCTGGAGGGAGGGGAGGGAGGGACCAGGGTAGACCCGAGACAAGGGTACGGGAGGCCATACCTCGAAGACGAGGCAGGGAGGGGTGACCAAGGCGGTGGTGCCAAAGGAGAGTCTCGTGCGACAGAGGACGACATGAGCAGGGGGCAGACGCAGGACTAGACATGGACGCGGCAGCAAACACCTGACTAGACGCAGCTACCTGACTAGACGCAGAGACCGGAGGAGGCGCAGTAGTCAGTGTGTACAGACTTGTCCCTGGCCGACGGGTGAACGTGGCCAGGTGGCGGCCCGTCCGAGAGCAAGTGCAGTGGGTCACACGCTGACCTCCAGGGGCGAACTGGTCAACCCACGCGTCCTGGAGGTCAGCTCTACTCACCAGGTTTGTAGAGAATGAGGGGAGGTGGAGTCCCGACAGCAAGCCCGACGGGGCTGCAGGACACGGTAGAACCGTGGAAGAGTGCGCAAGGACTGGGCCCCCAGAGGGGTCAGCAAGGGAGACTGCGACAGGCCGACTGAGCGGCGTGAGTGTGGTGCTGTCTCTAAAGAAAGAGCGTGAAGCACCAGAGTCAAGTGTGAAAGTGTGCAAGGCCTCAGTATGTGCAGTACCAGAGAGAGCAGACTCACCAGTACCTGGAGCAGCAGACTCACCAGTACCTGGAGCAGCAGACGCACTAGCACCTAGAGCAGCAGCTGCAATGCCCGGGTTGGGCGGGACACTCAGGTAACAGTCACCCTCAGCACTATCAGTCAAAGCATACATGGCAGCAAGGATAGCATCGAAATCAAGATCAAAGATAGGCACATTCTGCATTAGCAGATCATGCCAGCGAGGGAGCTCAACAGCGTCAGGAAAATGGGCACGCCAGGGGTCAGTCAAGCGACCGAAGCAGCGCTGCGTAGTGTGTGGCAGCCCACACGCCTTCCCATGACGACTGCCAGTGCAAAGAACGTAAGTGCAGGGACCAGCACCCCCAGACCTCCCACGCCCAGCGTACCACTCACGAAGCTGCTGGGCCGACGGGGTCTCACGGGAACGCGGCTGCTGCTGGCGCTGGCTACCACCAAAGCCTCCACGCTGCGCGGCTGCACCTCGACCAGCACCACCGCCGCCGCCACCGCCACCACCGCTGCCGCTGCCTCCACCACCGCTGCCGCTGCCTCCACCACCCCCACCGCCGCCACTGTAGCCCCCACTCCCGGCACCACCCCCTCCTCCACCGCCACCCCTCCCGCCTCCTCCACCGCCTCCGCCGCCGCCCCCGCCGTCCCCTCCACCACCCTTGCTCCCCTTGCCCTTGCTGTTGCGGCGCCTCCCACTAGGGGCAGACGCAGCTCCGACCTCCTCAGTACCAACAAGGTCGACAGCAGCAGCAGAAGCAACAGAGGGGAGAAGGGAGACAGGGGGACACCCCTCAAAGAAAGCGGTGTGACGGTCGCCGTGAGAAGCACCTACAGCTAAGATACTCTTCTCAGCTGCAGCAAGGCGCTCCTCTAGCAGGTCGACAGTCAGCTCGGTGGGGCAAAGGGAGAGAAAGTGGTCCCTGACTGAAGAAAAGGAGTCAGGGAGGCGGGTGACTAGGTAGTAAAGGGTGATGTACATGGGGGGGGGGTTCTTGGCACAGAACTCAGTGGGAAGGGCAGCGCGGTAGCGGGCGTCACTAGTGCGGAGGTGAGCAACGAGGTCAGCGACTGTGGCAAAGGCGGCAAGGTCAGGGAAAAGGTACGGCAGCATGAGGCGGCTGAGGGCAGCAGTGGCAGAGGAGGAGTAGCGCGCAACTACAGCGTCGTACAAAGACTGAGCAGTCTTGTACTGGCCAAAATGCGCGCGCTCAGCAGGCGGCAGGTGACTACAAACAGCAAGACGAGCAACAGCGTCACGAGTGGTCCACTGCGAGCGAACCGTACTGCCGGCAGTGGTAGCAGGAGTAGTAGAGACACCGGACGTGAGATCGAAAAGGGATACCCCATCCCTAGAGTCACACTGAAGAAAGAGCTGCAGGTCGTCAACCCACACGTCAAAGTCAACTGCACGCCCCTCAGCATCAAAGGTGAGAACAGTAGGGCTAGCCATAGCAGCAGTAGGAGCAGTAGCAGCAGTAGCAGCAGTAGCAGCAATAGCAGCAGTAGCAGCAGTAGCAGGAGAGGCAGTAGGGCAGTGCAGGGCAGTGCAGCTCAGTAGGGCGGCGCGGCTCAGGAGAGCGGCGCGGCTCAGTGGGCGGCGCGGCTCGGCTGGGCGGCGCGGCTCGGCTGGGCGGCGCGGCTCGGCTGGGCGGCGCGGCTCGGCAATTGGCGGCGTGGCGCAGCAGGGCGGCGCGGGTGCTTACCAGGGGCGGGTGCAGGGCCGGGCCGTGACAGCAGGGGCGGCGATAGGTGGGGGCGCGACAGCAGGGGCTGCGTCAGCAGGGGGGGGGCGCGACAGCAGGGGGGGGCCGCGACAGCAGGGGCCGCGCCAGCAGGGGGCCGCGTCAGCAGGGGCCGGGTCAGCAGGGCCGGGCCGTGACAGCAGGGGCCGCGCCAGTAGGGGTGGCGACGGCAGGGGGCCGCGACAGCAGGGGCCGCGACAGCAGGGGGCCGCGTCAGCAGTGGGGCCGCGTCAGCAGGGGCCGCGCCAGCAGGGGCCGTGCCAGCAGGGGGCCGCGTCAGCAGGGGCCGCGCGAGCAGGGGGCCGCGTCAGCAGGGGGGGCCGCGTCAGCAGGGGGCCGCGTCAGCAGGGGCCGCGCCAGCAGGGGCCGCGTCAGCAGGGGGCCGCGTCAGCAGGGGCCGCGTCAGCAGGGGCCGCGCCAGCAGGGGGCCGCGCCAGCAGGGGCCGCGACAGCAATAGGGGCCGCGTCGGCAGTAGGGGCCGCGACGGCAGGTGGGGTCGCGACGGCAGTAGGGGCCGCGACAGGCAGTAGGGGTCGCGTCCAACAGGGGCCATGACGGGCGACAAAGGGGCCACGACGGGCAGGGCGCGATGCGCGCTTCGGGCAGAGCAGGAAAAAAAAAAGGTTGTGGTGGGCCCTTAAAAAAATGTTCCCAATAGGGAACCTGCTCAAAATACCATGTTAGAATGTGAGCGAATGAATGACTGAACTAGAAAGCAGGTGGGTACAAGGAGGAAACCTAAAAGTGTTGTACCCTATAAGAACTACCCCACTACAGCCTAAACAGACTATAGCATATATAAGTTTGACATGCATGCGTGTGTGCATGGAATGGTATGAGGGCATGAGAGAATATATATTTCATGCTTACAATGGTTTGTGAATGATGAGGCATGCTTTTGAATGTGTGTGTCCAGTCAATAGCGAGTTATAGCTAGTCGCGTGTCACGTCGTCGTTTGCGTGTCGTGTGCAGTTTTCTATTTTGTCGTGTTTGGAACGTTCATCGTGTTGCAGGTGTGCGAAGCAGACTTCCAAGAACTCAAGGAAGAATTTATCTTGAAGAACCAGAGCCATGGTTTCAAGATTCAAGTGATTTCGAAGCTCTCCATAAGGGTAAACTTCAAGATAGTGAGAATAGTTACATTGCAATGTGTAGTGTAACATTTCTCTTGGTGAAGGCCCTTGTGGAGGGTAGTTTCAAGACCCTTCATGGTTGGGGACAGTGTGGCACTGTTCCACATCACTGTACCTCGGCTCTTGGGCTGGGAGTCTGTTACAAGCGCAATTGAGTGAGCGAGCGAGGATTGCACTATCGAGACAAGAATACAATGAGCGAAGGATTGAGCTAAGAATATATAGCGAAGCTACAGTGGTAACGGTAACGTGTGGAAAAATGGGGTGCGTGACGGGCCTGGTGCCGAGGTTGGGGAATGTCGAGGCGGAGGTCCGGAGCGCGGGTTACCAACCGAACCGTGAGGTTGTGTCGCATCGTGAACAGTGGCTGGAATGGGGTCGAGGCTAATGTCGCGAGTGGTAATGGATTATTGTGGGGTGCTGTTGGCGGGAAGAGTGGTGTACGCGCTGAGCAGGGACGCGAAGTAAGGAAAAGGGAGGCCTCTCTTACGAAAGTGCGTGTACATCCTGCCAAAATGTTGTATAGCTTATATTGTGTAGGCTATAGTGGGGTAGTCCATAAGGGGTACAACCCAGTTAGGGTTAGTACTTGTACCCAACTCTTTACTAGTTCATTCATTCTCGTTCATTATTCTGACACATCCCGGAAATTCCGGCTGCGCAGATACTCGGTGAGGACAGGGTGGTTTTCGATTTTGTCCAGGGGAACCCAATTGTCTTCGATGGGCGTGCGGTCTCTCCAGCGGATCAGGAATACGACCTTTTGAGCTCCTTGTGGGTCACGAACTCGGTGGCTCAGAATCTTCTCGGGCGTGATGAATGGCTCTGTCGGTGGTCGAGCCATGCTGGCTGGGCGATTTCGGGCCAGTTGGCTGGTGGATGGGATGTAGGGGCGAAGCAGGTTGACGTGGAAAGACGGGCTGACGTACCAGTCAGCAGGGAAGAGGAGGTGGGCGGTGACAGGTGTGATCATGTGGCTGATGCAAAATGGCCCGCAATATTGGGGGCGGAG